TTTCAAGATCTATCCTGAAGTACAACTCTGACAGTGATAGTATAATATCCATACATCTACAACGAAGACCAGTTAATACGACTATTATTCAAATTTACGCACAAACTGCTAAGGACAACGATGAAAAAATTGAAGATTTTTTACCAACTTCTGCAGTCTGAAATTGATCAAACATGCAATCAATATGCATTGATAATTACTGGTGACTGGAATATGAAAGTTGGAAAAGAAGGATCGGTAGGTGAGAAATATGGCACTGGCGATAAAAACGATGCCAGAGATCGCAGGATAGAATTTTGGAAGACCAACAACTTACTCACTGCAAACAAATTTTTTCAACAACATAAATGGTGACTATACATGTTTACCTCACTGGATGGAATACACAGGTATCAAATCAACTACATTTTGGAAGGAGACAATGGAGAAGCTCAATATCATCAGTCAGAACAAGGCAAGGGGCAGACTATGGAACAGACCATCAATTGCTCATATGAAAGTTTAACTAGAAACTAAAGAAAATTAAAACAAGTATGTGAGAGCCAAAGTATGACCCTGAGTATATCTCAGCTGAATTTAGAGACCATTTCAAGAATAGACTTGATGCACTAAATGCAAACGACTGAAGACCAGAGAAGTTGTGGGAAGACATCAAGGACATCATACATGAAGAAAGCAGGAGGTCATTAAAAAGGCAGGAAGGAAACAAAAGACCCAAATGGAAGTCAGAAGACACTCTGAAACCTGCTCTGGAACTTAGAGTAGCTAAAGAGAATGGAAGAAATGATGAAGCAAAAGAGCTGAACAGGAGATTTCAAAGGGCAGTTAAAGAAGACAAAGTATAATAATGAAATGTGCAAACAGCAGGAGTTGGAAAATCAAAAGGGAAGAGCATGCTTGACATGTCTCAAGCTGAAATAACTGAAGAAAAAATTCAAGCCTCAAGTTGCAATACTGAAGGATTCTATGGGCAAAATACTGAATGACACAGAAAGCATCAAAAGAGGACAGAAGGAAGACACACAGTCACTGCACCAAAAAGAACTGGCTGACATTCAACCATTTTAGGAGGTAGCATATGATCAAGAACCAATGGAACTGAAGAAATCCAAGCTGCACTGAAGGCACTGGTGAAAAACAAAGCTCCAGGAATTGATGGAATACCAACTGAGATGTTTCAAAAAAAAAAATCAGTGCTGGAAGTGCTCACTCATCTTTGCCAAGAAATAAAGAAAACAGCTACCTGGCCAGTCGACCGGAAGAGATCCATATGTGTTCCTATTCCAAAGAAAGGTGATCCAACAGAATGTGGAAATTATCAAACTATATCATTAATTATCACACACAAGTAAAATTCTGAAGATAATTCAAATATGGTTGCAGTAGTACATTGACAGGGAATTGCCAGAAATTCAGGAAAGATTCAGAACAGGAGATGGAAAGAGGGACATCATTGTTGACGTCAGATGGATCCTGGCTGAAAGCGGAAAATACCAGAAAGATGTTTACCTGTGTTTTATTGATTACACAAAGGCATTCAACTGTGTAGACAATAAAAAATTATGGATAACACCGTGAAAAATGGGAATTCCAAACCACTGTGCTCATGAGATACCTGTATATAGACCAAGAGGCAGTCATTTGAACAGAAGGAGGGGATATTGCATGGCTTAAAATCAGGAAAGGTGTGTGTCAGGGGTGTACTCTTTCAATATACTCATTTATTCTGTATGCTGAACAAACAATTCTAGAAGCTGGACTATGTGAAGAATAACGGGGCATCAGGATTCGAGGGAAGACTCATTAACAACCTGCAATATGTAGATGACACAACCTTGCTTGCTGAAAGCAAAGAGGACTTGAATCACTTATTGATGAAGATACAGATTACAGCCTTCAGTATGGACTAAACTTCAACATAAAGAAAACAAAAATCCTCATAACTGGACCAAAAAGCAACACCATGATAAATGGAGAAGATACTGAGGTTGCCAATGATTTCATTTTACCTGGATCCACAATCAACACTCACGGTAGCACCAGTCAATAAATCAAACGACATATTGCATTGGGCAAATATGAAGCAAAAGACCTGTTTAAAGTGTTAAAACGCAAAGACGTCACTTTGAGGACTCAGGTATACTTGACCCAATCCATACATTTTCAGTCACCTCATATGCATGCAAAAGCTGGACAGTGAATAAGGAAGACTGAAGAAGAATTGATGCCTTTGAACTATGGTGTTGGCGAAGAATGTTGAATATACCATGGACTGCCAGAAGAACAAACAAATCTGTCTTGGAAGAAGTACAGCCAGAATACTCCTTGGAAGGAAGGACGGCAAGACTTCGTCTCATGCACTTTGGACATGTTATCAGGAGGGACCAGTCCCTGTAGAAGGAGATCATGACTGATAAAGCAGAGGGTCAGTGAAAAAGAGGAAGCCCTCAACGAGATCCACTGGCACAGTCATTGCAACAATGGGCTCAAACAGCAACGATTGTGAGGATGGTGCAGGACCAGGCACTGTTTCTTTCTGTTGTACGTAGGGTTGCTATGAGTTGGAACCAACTCAATGGCACCTGACAACAACAATAGGCAGTGGAAATCTAAATCATAAGAAAGTAATGTTAGAATATAGGGTATAAATACAGGAGAATATAGTTATGAGTTAAAGTTAGCATGTTAAGACGATAAAATCATCTAATTTTAATCTAAAATACGCTATACTAATTAGTTCTAAATTTTTATTAAGGAAATTTTCAAACAGAAAAGTAGAAAGAATAGATAACTAACATCCACATATCCTTCACCTAGATTCTACAACAGTTACTATCTTCAATTGTTTTATTTAACTATGCATGTGTTCAGATAAGAGCCCTGTGGCATAGTGTTTAAAAGCTACGGCTGCTAACCAAAAGGTCAGCAGTTCAAATCCACCAGCCGCTCCTTGAAAACCCTATGGGGCAGTTCTACTCTGTCCTAAAAGGTCACTATGAGTCGGAATTGACTCAACAGCAGTAGGTTTTTTGGTTTTTGGTGTTCAGATATATACACATATTTGCTAATTTATACACACACATACATATTTATCTAACATTTGAAAAAAAATTGCAGACATGATTGCACTTCTTTAAATATTTCAGCCTACATCAGATAGCCATAATTCATTATTACACACAGGAAAACTAACAATAATTTCAGAATAATTTATAATATCTAGTTGAAATTGACTTGAAGTCAATTGGTTTGGTTTTGGCTTTTAGTCCATATTCAAATTTTCCAACTGACTCTATTTTTTTCAAACCACGAGCCAGTGATGTTTTATGCATTGCATTTTACAGTTATTATGGTATATTTAATCAAATACATGCAAAATCAAATTTAGATCTTGTAACCACATTTGATTATCATGGTGTATTTAAGAAGTCTTAGTGGCACAGTGGTTAAAGACCTCGGCTGCTAACTGAAAGGTTGGAGGTTCGAACCCACCAGCTGCTCCATGTGGCAGTCTACTTCCATAAAGATTACAGCCTGGGAAACACTACGGGGCAGTTCTTCTCTGTCCTATAGGGTATCTATGAGTCAAAACCAACTCGATGGCAATGGATTTTTTGGTTTTATGGATATTTAGTGAAATACATGCAAAATCCAATTAAGATCTTTTCTTTCCCCCTGCAAAATGCATAAGCCTTTAAGATAAAGAAGAATACGGCTCCCATGAAAAATCAAGTAAACGAGGTAAGCCTAAGTGTGGTTATAACTAATGGTGCAGGTAAAGCATAAATTTAGGGAGTTCTGCCTCCTAGTTTCTATTATTTGAATATGAAGTTTTGTGTAGGAGCTGAATAGGTCATCTGCCACGAAATGGAGGCACAGGTAGAGCAGAAAGCCTGCAGTTTGTTTTTTTTTTTAAAGTTTCTAATCATATTGTCTTATAAAATATAAAATTTAAATATCATATAAAATATGTCAATTTTTTATAAGAACTCTAGGCCCCAAAACCTTTGTAATCCAACTATCTTAACTAGATTTTTTTTTTAATTCTGAATCTTGTGTTCAGACAAAGAAAAAAAGAGAGAACAAAAACAAAAAGAACATTTTTCTAACGAAACCTGAGACATGATACAGCTCTGATCATGTCATTCTCAGTAAGACTCAATTGCCTAAAGAATGTATTTCAACTACCTGCATATGATATTCAAGATTCTCAATGAGCTCTAACTCCACAATGCTTCCTCAGCTTCATCTCCCACAATTCTCCTTCACGCTATTCTCTAGTCAGAAAGATCTAGTCAATTCTACCATACATGGTCCATACTTTCCCAAGTAGGCATTTGATTCACATTATCCTCCCTGCTTAGTAGGTCCTGTTCTCTCCAGTTGCTGTATGTGCAAACATTCTCCTTTCTTTACGACCCAGAACAAATGAAATATCACGCAAGAAGCCTTCCCAGTTGTTCTATAACCTCTACCAGAGTAAGACGCAATCTCTCCTTGCTTTGCCATTTTCTACCTGTGGTGTCATTTCGTATATATTCCTTGCTGTTCTCTAGGATAAAGGCGATTTCTTATTCACCTTTATATTGCTTATAGCAGTTCATATAGTTTATAAAAGATACTTCATAAGTAACTGTTGGAGCCCTGGTGGGCAGTGGTTAAGTGCCTGGCTGCTAACTGAAAGGTTAGTGGTTTGAACCTACCAGCTGCTCTGCGAGAGAAAGATGTGGCAGTCTGCTTCCATAAAGATTGACAGCCTTGGAAACCTTATGGAGCAACTTTACTCTGTTAGATATATAAATAAGTAAAAGAAATCCCAAGTATTATATGACTCAAGGAAAAGTTAAACTGTGAAAAGACTAAGTATGTTTTATCCTATTCAAATTCTTTTCGTGTTGATAATCTACCTGCTATTCTAGATAAACAAAATGTGTGATTAGATTACTAAACTGCACTTAATGTGCTTAAAGAAATTATTGAAAACTGTAAAATGCACTTACCTTCTCATTATTGTAATAAGAAATGCTCAGGCCATCAAATTTCACCCATCTCTTCTGAAACATGCGCTTTCTGTAAAATATATGAAATTGTTACTTTACATTCAAGTACCATGAAATTGGACTTGAAATGCATTTGTAATGCAGTCATGTTGAGTACTTTCCCATTTGCTGTTAAATGGTAAAAAAATAAGAAGCTATGATGATGTATAATTTTGGCAATGGTACACAGGTTAAAAAAATGGTACAATGACACTTTATAATCAGTTGACCTATGTATTAAAAATATGACACATGATACATTTAACAGTGTTATTACCCACATTTATAAGGCTGAATGCAAAACAAAGTGTGGTCAGAAGCACTAACATTGCATCTATTTCCTTTCCTGAAGATAATCCTTTAATAAAGGTAATATGAGCTTTCATCCCTCTTTAAGTTTACAGTATTTTTTTTTTTTTACTTTAAAGAATGAATAGTATTTTCCTAAAATAACAAAGCTTTGTCAATGGATTGACATAAATAAGTTATTTAATTTTGATAAAATAAGCCAAAAAAACCCTGTCCAAATACAGGTAATCATTTATAATTATTCAAAATTAACTTAAATAAGTATTTTTTTTCAAAAGAGATCATAAATAAGGCAAATGCAATGGTTAAAATGATTACCAGCATGATAAACAAAGCAAAATAATATAATCTTATGTTTCCTATGTAGGCTTAAAAGGGGAAAAAAAACCCAACTATTTTGCTGATTTTTTTAAGGAAAGGGAACAGATCATTTCTACTTGGGCTTGGGTTATTTTGTTTGTTTTGTTTTGTTTTTAAATTCCCCTTCCCGGGTCAGACAGTCCTACAGGTTTTGAACATCTATCCTCTTCGTGGCTCTCTGGACTAATCTGATATGATATAGACACTTTAGCCTTTAATACAGATAATAATTGAAAACTAACTTTATATTTAAAAAAGTCTTTTCTAAACAAATACGTAACCATCAACCATGTCTATCTGTTTTTTTTTTTTTTTTTCCTTTTGCAGTTTTCTAACATGCCTAAGATAAAGATCTGATAAAACTTTCTGTGGCTTTCAGAAGATTTAAAGATAAAAACGAACTTCAGGGAGTGTGGAGAACTTGTCTTCCGAGCTGATTCCTGAGCACCATACGGCTATTATTCAAGGGAAATCTAGCAAGGCTCCTACATTAATTATCAGTAAATTTATTTTGCTTAAGAAAAAATTATAACAAAACTGATGAAATGGAGAGAATTTTTAAAGTTCATCAGCACAGTCATCATGCTCACATTTAAGCACTGAATTAATTATGAACTAATAAGAACATGTAACATATAACAACTACTAACTACCCAGCGTTCTTTCTTATTCCTTCATCTTTCTGCTTCTTTTTAACTTCCCTTGGCCTATCTATATAGGGAGCCCTGGTGGCACAGTGGTTAAGAGCTTAGGGTGCTAACCAAAAGGTTGGCAGTTCAAATCTACCAGCTGCTCCTTACAAACCCTATGGGGCCGTTCTACTCTGTCCCATAGGGTCACCATGAGTCGGAATCAACTCGACAGCAACAGGTTTGGTTTTTTGGTTTTGGCCTATCTATAATGTATTTTCTTAACACAGCAACATCTAGCAGTGTCACAGACATCTGGTTTTTACTTTCTCCAGCAACCTAAGGGTTCTTCAAAATCCCAGCATTAAAAGTTTAAAGGTAATATTAACCAAACAAACAATAATTACTTTGCACTTATTTCATATTTATATCTGTCATACTTTACTAGATGCTGTCAAGTCGATTTCTACTCATAGCAACCCCAAGTGGTGCAGAGTAGAACTGTGCTACATAGGGTTTTAAAGGCCACGACCTTTCAGAAGTAGACTGTCAGGCCTTTCCTCCAAGGTGCCTCTGGGTGGGTTCGAACCACCAACCTTTCAGCTAGTAGTCAAGCACTTAACCTCTTACACCACCTAGTGACTCCTCGGCCATACTCAGTAATTCCTTAAATCAATATTTTGTTTTGGGCACCCCTCTTACATTACGAATGTGGAAAACTAGAGCTCAGTAGTACATACCATCTTTCCTTTTAAAATAAAATTAATCAACATCTGTGGGGAGAGAAAAGCCTTAAGGCCTTCCATGAACCCCTCTATTCCCTTTGCTAACTCCTTTACCTTTCAGGGAAACCCTGGTGGGGTTAACTGCTATGGCTGCTAACCAAAAGGTCAGCAGTTCGAATCCATCAGGCACTCTTTGGCACAGCACTAAACACAATCTCTAATTATACACACTTGTTTACTTGCTTTATGTCTGTCTCCCACACCAGACCTTAAGCTTTACAAGGACAAAGTCCAAGAATGTTTTACTCCCTACTATATGATCGGCAACTACACTTGCTTTATGTCTGTCTCCCACACCAGACCTTAAGCTTTACAAGGACAAAGTCCAAGAATGTTTTACTCTCTACTATATGATCAGCAACTACACAGAGACAAATACTGTGCTAAAATTTTTTCTGAAGAATGAGTGATGTGATTAAGCACAGTTCCTTTAACAGTATGTACAGGATGACATGCAAATAAAACCTCCAATGACCAGCACTCAAGTAGTCAGCATCTTTTTTTAAAAAAAAAAATAAAGTTGGGAGGGCAGGACTACTTCAGAAAACTTATTAAGATTTAAATTCAATGTTTCAAAATCTACACTAAAAAAAAAAAAAAAAAAAAAAAGACCTAGCATCTATTTTAACATCTTACTTAAAGACTGTTTAATCGCAGCCACCTGGACTCGTAAAGCTGTCTTAGAATTTCGTCACCATCTAGATAGACCATTTGAGGTCTGTATGAGTTTCCTAAGGCTGCAGAAATGAATCAACACAAACTTAGTGGCTTAAAACAACAGAAATTTATTCTCTCCCAGTTCTGGAGGCTAGAAATCTGAATGAAATCAAGGTGTCAGCAGAGGCATGTTCCCTCTGAAGGTTCTAGGGAAGAAGCTTTCCTTTCCTCTCTCCTAGCTTCTGGTAGTAGCTAGCAATCTTTGGTGTCCCTTGGCTTGGTAGCTGCATCATTCTAATCCACCTTCCCTCTGTTTGTCCTCTCCGCTACTTAGAAGAATAGGAGTAACTGGGATTTTGGGTCCACCCTAATCCAGTAGGACCTCATTTTAACTAAATTATATCTGCAAAGATCCTATTCCCAAAAAGGTCATATTCAGAGGTTCTGGGTAGACATGAGATGGGCGGGGGGGATGCAGTATTCAATGCACCTAAAAGGTTTGAGGCATTTAGGAGTTTAGCATTCGTACCCACAGAAAAATGAGAAGAAGAAAAAGGAGGACAGACATCGTAGTACTTGTCAGGCCTAGGAATCACTCCAGGATGCCACCGTCTGACTAGGTAACATCTCATCTGTCACATCAATGCTGCAAAGGACACGCTCCACTCCTCTCTCTCTAAGGAAAGCCAACCAAAATCTCAGCTCATGAGAGTCTCAGCTCCTAAGATATTCTCCCAACCATTTTCATTTTCTCAACTGCCCAGGTAACTATTAGATGTGTTCAGCCATTTAAATTCAGTATTTTTTTAGAGATTATTGAATCTCTCTAATATTCTGGTTAAGTGCTTAGATGCTAACCAAAAGGTTGGTGGTTTGATCCCACTTGGCGGCTTCATGGGAGAAAGACCTGGCAACCTGCTTCCATGAAGATTACAGCCTAGAAAACCCTATGGGGCAGTTCTACCCTGTCACATGGGGTCACTAGAGTGGAAATCAACTTGGCACCTAACAACAACAATAATTTGTGGATAAGACAAACTTCTGCCTGCAAGTAAATGTAACAAAAGGCCACATGGTGTAGAAGCTGAACAGAGCTACTTTGCAATTCTACCATCAAAATTTATTTCTGCTGTTAATACTCAGCCATCTAGTCATCAAATTTTGTGGGATACCTCCTCTGACACTATCCCGTACTGTTCATACTGCCTCCTTTCAGTTCCTCTTTCTTGTCTTGTGGCCTTCCCATACATCACTTTCCCTGCTAGGAATGCTCCCTGACTACTCTTGACAGGGCTAGTTCCTTCCTGTCCCTGAGATCTCAGATTAAAAGTCACTCCCTCCAAGTGGCCAATCCTGACCACCACATAGCTCCTTCAAGTCTCCTTGCCCTCTTCCTGCATTTTACTTAATGACACTTAGCAGAATTTGTAATTAAACAGTTGTTTTGCTTCATCTGTCTACCCTACTAGATTTTGAGATCCTTAAGGGCAGAGACCATTTGTTTTGCTTATCAGTGTAAAACCAGTGACTACCACAGGGCCTCGCAGATAAAATGAGCATAGTAAATGAATGAATGAATGAATATACTTCCCACTAAAAATGCTTATTCACATTTGCATTTTAAATATATACAAATTGAACATTTTAACTGCTAAAACACTTCATCCTTAATTCCATCTTTTGTTTTGTTCAAGTACTAAAAATCAGATTTTCTTACATGACAAAGTAAAAACTTTGTAAAACTATTTTGTTGCTAAAGAATAAATCAGATCCTACAGGAAGCCTGAAATATTCATCATTAATTTCCACGTAATTTTTAATACATGTTAGAATTTTTGAAATTTTTAAATTTAGTTCTTTATAATGTACATTCATGATACGTACCTATTAAAAAAATGCAAATTAAACATTCAAGATGTTTCTAAAACTAAATTAATTTACATAAACACTGAATAATCTATTTTGCTGATTAGATGTGTTACCATCCAATCACATGCACTCCTCACTTATTGACACATTTAGGTTCCAAAGACCAGGTCATTATGGGAAAACAGGCATTATGTGAGAGTAGGCCTGTCTTTGACACCCACGTCCCTCTCCTGGCATGGCTTGGCATGGGCATGGCATGGCGGGGCACCCCCCTTCTCCATCACACCTTCCCCATAACCACAGAGCCTGCAGGGGGTTGGGGTGGTGATGGTGATGGTCAGGGGTTGCCTGCTGCCTCCAGAGTAGCAGGGGTCCACCATTACCTGGCCATGCTCCAGGCCTCTGCGGGGTCCCCGCGCCTT